AACCACCCTTACAGCACCCTGTGCTTCTTTGGAACTTCAGTTTGGTTCCCTCTGCTCTGCAGAAGCAACCATTTGAACCCATCAGGGGACTACACTTAGATGATCTCTCCTGCAAGGTAGTTTTCTTAATGGAGCCATTCCTCATGCTCCATCAGGACAGAGTAGTCTTTTGCTCCAGACTAAGGTGGTGGTAAGCCTCATGTAAGCCGCATTTTTTTCACACATTTAGACACATTCAGGTGCGTTTGGGAGTTAGATTATTTTGTTATGCAAAATTTTTATTTATTCTGGCCATTGAAATGAATAAACGCTCAAGCACTACACACGTTTAGCATATAGACTTGGGCGTTTTTTATGCTCAAAAGCACCTCTATGGAACGTGTTTCTTCTGCGTTTAGGAGAAGGAACTTTGACTGTGTCTAAATGCTGCTTCTAAACTGCATGGACACAGGCTTTTGAGGTACGTTCAGGGGCTTAGGCAAAATAAACCAAAAGCCCCAAAAAGCATCAGTTTAGGAGCAGTAGTGTGCATGAGGCTTAGTTTTCCACCTCAACGAGGACATAGTCAATCACTGTGCCAATCACTTCAAAAACAAGATTGACACAATTCATAGGGACATCGCCACCTCTCAGACTTCCACCCCACCTAGCATCCCTCACACGAAAACCCCCTCAACACTCCACTCCTTCGACCTTGCTACCACTGAAGAGGTCACTAAGGTCTTCTCTGAAGCCCGCCTCACCACCTGCCCCCTTGACCCTGTTCCCTCACAACTCCTACGGTCACACTCCTCCATCTTACGCTCCCTCACTCACATATTTAATCTCTCCCTCTCTGCTGGCGCTTTCCCCTCCCCTCTGAAGCACGCGCACTTCACGCCCATACTTAAAAAATCCTCCCTGGATCCCACCGATCTGAACAACCTTATTCCCATCTCCCTGCTGCCATTTACATCCAAACTCCTTGAGCGCTTAGTCTATAATCGCCTGAGTTCCCACCTCACCAACAACAACCTCCTTGATCCCCTACAATCTGGCTTCCGTCCCCTACACTCCACCGAAACTGCCCTACTCAAACTCACCAACGACCTGCTAACCGCCAAAGCTAATGGCCACTATTTAGTGCTCCTACTCCTTGACCTCTCCGCGGCTTTCGACACGGTTGACCACCCCCTCCTCCTCAAAAAAACTACACTCTCTTGGCCTCAGAGACTCTGCTCTCTCCTGGCTCCCTGGCTCCCTGGCTCCCTTCCTATCTATCACAGCGCTCCTTCAGTGTTACCTAAAACGCTACCACCTCCCTCAAGGTTCTTGTGCCCTGTCCTAAGCACGCTGTCAGAGCCATCAGAGTGTACTGAAAATCTACAGCTCCTGTCGGAAAGACAGACTCCCTATTTGTCCTAACATCAGGCCCCCACAAGGGACATATTACTTCAAGATTTACTATAGCCTGGTGGATAAGACAACTCATCTCAAGAGCTTAAAGTCTAAAAGATAAAGAACCTCCAGTACTAATAAGTGCTTACTTCACCAGATCGGCATCAAGGTTCTGTTTCCCAACTTCACAAGAATGCCACCTGGTCTTTTGTTCATATCGTTTTCAAGTCCAGGTGGATGTCCAATCCTCTGCAGATGAAGCTTTTGGCCGTAATGTTCTTGCAGCACTCTGAATTGGGATTGTTGACCGTTGCTATTGTTGGGCTTGTTGGCACAGTTCTGTTTGCCTTGTTGCCCACCCTTCTCATTCATTGCTTTGGGATGTCCCAGGGTCTATGAATATCCAGCTTATGTCCTGTAAAGTATGATTAAGATAAAAGAAATGTTGACTTGCCTGTTAATTCCATATTGAGTACAGTACAGGACCAAAGCCCAACACCCTCCCACATCCTGCATTCCATTCCAGTGTCTGCATTGCTTGCTTAAAAAAAAGAAAAAAAATTGGACTCGTAGGGTAGGGTTATAAGGGGATGCCCAGGGGGGTTAATTCTAAAAAGTTTTGCCAATGTCAAAAGTCTGGAGTCTCAAAGCAAGCAAAATGAAGGCCACGTTGGTACAGACATTGACAAATGTGTTGATAGCTTTACAGCTAATTTAAACAATGCTTTATTCCTCGTGAAATGTGATGAAATTAAAATCAGCTGTCTTGTGTAAACTTGCATGCCTTTGGTATATCCAAGTAAAACAGAGTGTGAAAAGATAATTTCTTACTCTACAAAGATACTTTAAATTGGTAAGGAGAGATTTGTTTTGTATACCTCAAAAAGATCAGAAACAATTGGGACATAGTGATATTTCAAACTAACTCTTTTCTGTAATTCGTATCTTGTAATCGTAATCAGTCAGCCTAAGTGGTCACATGGACTACAGAAAGCAAAAAAGTGAGTTGCTGAGAAATAAAAGTATAGACTGGCATGTCATATATCAAAGTTGTAAGATCATGTCCAAGGAGCTTGATGTTCTGTGGCAACAGTTGCATGTATTAACCATTTGACGCCCGGCCTATGGCCAAATGGCGTCCGCAAAAATGCATTACCTTTCCGGGAGGCCACCATATGGCATCCTCCCGCACATGCGCAGTTCGCACGCTTGCAGGGCCGCGCAGCGGCGCGATCTGTCACCGACCGTGTACCTCGGACACGGCCGATGACAGATCTGAGTACCGGCCCTGTTGCCGGTACCATGTGACCTGCTGTGACCAATCACAGCAGGTCACATGACCGTTGTTTACAATGGATGGCTTCATTCATGCCATCCATTGTATACTACTGCCTAGCTGTGAATGGTCACAGCTAATCACATGCACATGTCATGTGATTAGCTGTGGCCAAATCACAGCTAAGCACAAAAAAAAAAAACCCTGAATGAATAGATGTCATTCAGGTAAATGCTTGCTTATAGCAAAGTAATTCTTTGCTAAAAGCAAATTGTGTAAAAAAAAAAAAAAAAAAAATACTGATTACTTCCCCAAAGTAGTACAATGTTAGTATGGTAACATTGTACTACTTTGGACATAGTGAAATATGAAAAAAAAAAAATCTTAAAAAAAAGAAAAACAATTTAATAAAAAAATTTAAATAAAAAAAAATAGGTTTTTTTTTTTTTCACACTGTCACCAGTCAGTGTCCCTAATCACCGCCATGCCAGTTATATGATGACGCTGTACTGCACTGGTGACAGTATGTAAAAAAAAAATAGTGAAAATAATTTTTTTTATTTTTTTATGTTCAGAAAAATTATGACAAAAAAAATACGACTTGAAAAAACTCGCCATGCCTCTTATGAAGTACGTCGGACTGTCTACTTTGCAAAAAGTGGTCATTTGGGGGATATCTGTACTATTCTGACATTCTTGGACCTCAAGAAATTAGATTGGCTGTCAGTACTTCAGGATTGATCAATATTCAGATCTATACCATAGTTTGTGAACTCTATAATTTTCCTACAAACTAAAAAATGCATCCTAATTTGGGTTATTTTCACCAAAGACATGTAGTAGAATACATCTCGGCCTAAATTTATGAAGAACAATTATTTATTTGCAAATTTTTAGAACAGAAACAAAGAAAAACGTGGTTTTTTTTTTTCCAAATTTTCGGACTTATTTGTTAATTTAGCAAAAAATAAAAACCCCAGCGATGATTAAATACCACCAAAAGAAAGCTCTAGTTGTGTGAAGAAAATGATAAAATTTTAGTTTGGGTACAATGTTGTCTGACCGCGCAATTGTCATTCAAAGTGTGTGAGAGCGCTGAAACCTGAAAAATGGCCTGGGCAGGAAGGTGTAAAATTGCATGGTATTGAATTGGTTAAAAGAGATGTGCGGGAAAGAGAAAAAAAAACCCAAAAACATTCATACTCGCCTAGATGGCTGAAGCATTGATCCCATGCTGCAGATGTCCCATGCCTGCTCTCCACCAAGAACTAAGCAATCAAAGATCACGTCACTCAGTTTTTGTCTGTGCTCTGCCTCCCTAGTGCTCACTGAAGTGTTGGACTGTGGAGGGGGCGAGAGCAGCTGGCTGAGGAGCCAGTTGCTGGTACAGGCAACTGAGTGGATCCTACATTATTGTTGAGATCCCTTCAGAGCCTGGACCTGCTCTGTGACATCAGTCAATAGCAGACTTTAGGCTTTTGGCTGAATCTGGGTCACAGGAGTGCAGAACTAAGTGCACTCCTGTGACTCACAGAAGTATGGCCAAAAGAATTTTGGCCATACTTCTTCTTTAAGAAGCTGGAAAAATGTCTCCACACTGAACTGAACTGAAAGGATAGCACAAATGGTAGGTGAAGACCCAGGTAAAACTTCCAAAAAAAGATATAAACTGAATTTCAAGATCAATATAACTGTAAATCAGGGTCTGATTATACCATCCATCGCTTTTTGAGCAAATGTGTCCCAGAGACACATCAGAGGTAGTCTTTCAAAGTGTGGGATTCCCCCCCCCCCCTCGCGTAAACAGTTGTCCCCAGGACAGGTATCCCAATTTGAAGATTTCCTCTTTCCTGTTGTTCTTTGCACAACCCTAAAATTTTGGGTTTTCCCTCACTTTCTTTTTCGGTGGCAATGGTCATCAGCACATGTACAGGGCTGAATCTCGCCAGTAGAGACACTGATGGCAAGACAAACTAGACAGCAGGCCTATAGCCTGGCTAAGGCTATGTTCAGAATTCCCCAACATAAGTGATTACGTCTGATCAAATATTTTAAAGTGTTACTAAGTCCTTGACCCTGCATTCACTATTTTAGTAAATATAAACTACTAAATACCTTTTTTCTCATACACTAAACTGTGCGCAGAGTGACTCCTAGGGCTCTGTACTATCAACAGATGCATTGCTTTTCTGCCTTTACAGACTGATTTTACTGTTGTGGGCTTAGTAACACTTTAAGGAAACCAAACCCCAACATTTTGCAATCAACTTTTTTTATTTTATTATTATAGTATGATTTATTAAGCATATGACCATTTTAGACTAACAAGACCACTCTTGTGTTGCAGGATATAGATACAGCCCTTGTTTCAGACACAACAGATGATTTGTGGTTCTTAAATGAAAATCGGTCAGATCAAATAAATGTAGAGGTGACAATGGAACATGTGGACTCACAGGATAGTGAAGATGAAGATGCAAGAGAAGATGAGCGCAAAAAAGTGAGTCTTTTCCTCCAAACCCAAATACCATTGTTTTTTTGTGTTGTTTTTTCCGTCCATTAAGGGGAAAAAAATATGTAGTAAATTTTGGACATATGGATTATATGCAGCTGCCTTTTAGGAGGTGAACACTGCCAGACTGTTAAAAAAAAAAAAAAAAAATTGGAAATGTTGTATAACCTCCCCCTTAGCCATCACACATTAGTTTTTTTTTTCAGGAGATTGGGTGCCTTTTCCTTGTCTTAGTTGAGCAAAAGGTTTTTGCTGTGATATTGTACATTCTGTTCTATCAATATGCTACATTCTCCACGGATGTACGTTTCTATTTGGTTAAGCAGTTGAATGTGCTGTATGGACTGGTTTCTGTACATCAGCTCAGCTATGTAAATCGCCTTTTCATCAACAGCATTTGGAGGCTGTACCTAAAACCCGCTGGACTGATGATTTTGGGGATAGCCTGGAATGCGACCTTTGGGCATTGGGTTCTGCTTGTGGTGCTTTGAAGACCTTTGGTACTATGTTAACCGGAGGGTGCTCTCCAGTTCTAGAGCTTCTGGTGCAACCCATTCTTTGAAGACTTACTCTGTGAGCAGGCCCAAGAATGAGGTGAAGATATATTGGAATGTGACCTTTTGCACATTTGGCTGTGCACTGTAGTATTTTTTTTTTTTTTTTTTTTTTTTTTTTAAACCCAATCTGCTAATGACTTTCTGTGTATTGTGGTGGTTTCTGTGTGCACAATTACTAGGTAAGTGAGTATTCTAACCAAATGATGATTTTTATGCATATTGTCCAACTCCAAGCTGTATAAACGTGAATGCAGGTGACCTTTAGATTGTAAGCTCCACGAGCAGGGCCCTCACATTCCTTCTGTACTGAAATGTATTGTAATTGTACTGTCTCCCTTATATTGTAAAGCGCTGCACAAACTGTTGGAGCTATATAAATCATGTATAATAATAATGTGTATTTGTGTAATGAGAGAGGGTGTGGCCTAAGGAGATCAACACCCTATATCAAGGTGTGCATAATTATTGGGCAGCTTCTTTTCCTCAGGCAAATGGGCAAAAAAAGAGGTTTAATTGACTTTGAAAAAAGTCACAAATTGTGAAGACTTTCAGAGGGATGCAGCACTCTTGAAATTGCTAAGATATTGGGTCGTGGTCACAGAACTATCAGACATTTTAGTGCTAATAGTAAAAAAAAAAAAAAGTTTTGAGAAAAATATGCAAATTAGCTGCCAAAGATATGAGAAGAATCAAATGTGAAGCTACCAGGAACCCATTATCCTCCAGTGCTCTCATATTCCAGAGCTGCAACCTACTTGGAGTGCCCAGAAGTACAAGGTGTTCAGTGCTCAGAGACGTGGCTAAGGTAAGGGAGGCTGAAACCCGACCACCACTGAACAAGACACATAAGTTGAAACATCAAGACTGGGCCAAGAAATATCTGAAGACAGGTTTTTTCAAGGTTTTAAGGACTGATGAGCTAAGAGTGACTCATTGGAAGTTTGAGCAGCCTTGTGACTATCAGTGTTCAGCAGAGCACTGGTTAAAGATTGTAGGAGGAGTTTTCATTCTGCTCTAGGAGGATGCAGAACCCCTGACCTCTGTCTGGACAGTGCTGATTGGCACAGTGAGTATATCAAGCATGCTTTACTGCATATGCAGACTGATTTTTTTTTTTTTTGTTTACTGTTGTGGGTTTAGTAACACTCCTCACCTGACCTAAACCCTTTTGAGAACTTGTGGGCCATTCATAAATGAAATATTTATGGTAAAACCGTACACCTCTCTGAACAGTGTCTGGGGGGCTGTGGTTGCTGCTGCACAAAAAGTTGATTGTCAACAGATCAAAAAATTGACAGACTCCATGAATGGAAGGCTTATGACTGTTATTGAAAGAAGGGTGGCTATATTGGTCACTGATTTTTTTTTTTTTTTTTTTTTTTAAGATCTTTTTATTTTGTAAATGTTAAGTTGTTATTCTCACTTTAACAGATTAAAATATACACGTGAAATGGGAAAATGTTTGTTTTTCATTTAGTTGCATAATAATTCTGCACTCTAATAGTTGTCCAATAATTGTGCACACATAGATATTCTCATAAGAAAGCAGTGTAGCTGTTCAATAATGAAATTAATCCTCAAAAATACAACTAATTGTGCACACAGTGTTGTCCTTACCTTTATGTCTACTCTCCAGTTCTTCACCTTAAACATCTCATCATACTGGTTTATGGTACTTTAACCTTTAGGGGCTTCACTGGAAGCCAGTTGAACTCCCTATTTGAATCTTAGTTTGAATTAACTTGAATGACTCCATGCTAGGCGGTGATTATAATTTGTAAAACTATGGTTTAACAGATTACCTCCTTTAAGAGGGGCTCACAAAATAAGACCCTTGAACCTTTGCAACTTGTTGAGAAACTGTCCATCTAATATGCCAATCCCGTTATCTGAGAGGTATTCGGGCCCTGCCATTGTCTATAGATAATAGCATGTGCTGCCTTTAAGAAATTACATATTGGTACTTGTTTAATTTGTGTTTATGATCCTGGTTTCATATTTAGTAAAGTGATGGGAAGAATACTATCTCATGAGTTTGTTGTAAAGTTCAAGAATCTGTTTCCAAAAAAAGTGATGAGAGGACATGTCTCCTATATGTGTCTCATTGTATCCTCAGTAGAGGAGCATCGCCAGCAGGGAGAGAATGGTTCATTTTATGAAAACCATGAGGGCAACAATACTATCTGGACAAGAGCTTATAATTTCACTTCTGCTTTAGACCTTTTTACTACATATTGAATTTATTTGCTTTTTCTTATTTATTTGAATTTTCTAATCCCATATGATCTGGCTCCCCACATCCTAGGAGTTATGTTCTCCTTCATTGCCTGGAGTCTTTCTTTGTGTATGCTAGTATTTCCTTACTTTTTGTTTTGTTTTTTTTTACTTTGGCGGTTACTGATAACTTTTAAAGATAGTTTGTTGACCTGGAAGGTTACCAAACAATTCTCCCGCTGTTCGTCGCTGAATATGGAATGGATTTTACAGTAGTGCTCCTTGTCTTTCTATCTTTCCCATCCTGGAGTGCTTAATAGTTCATAAATGAAAATTGTCAGTGTCCTAGATTCTGGTAGTTCCTGTTTTTCTAAATGTCATCTCCTCTCTACGGGTTTTATGGGAATTCCATAACATACTGTTCCTCAGTACTACTTTGTCTCTCATCTTGAGTTGCATATTCTGGATTTTGAAACATTGCATAAATATGATCCTTAATCTAACAAATCAATTAACCTTATCGTACAGGACACAGGGATCAATTCCTAGACCATGAGGTATGTGCCTCTATCTTCAGGAGATCAGACATTTGGCAAAAAAACTTTGCTGGGTCCTTCTCCATAAAACCCCGCCCACTCCGTTGGGCTCCAGTTTTTGTTAGCGTCCTTAGATGAATGTCTTCTCCTTTTGTAGATTTTCTGGCCTCTTGCATACGATATTGATGATTGAGCATCTGCCTTTTTTAAACGTAAATTCAAGCACATGTTTTGTGCGTATTTATTAACATATTTACACACATGCATGCAAATTTGCATGCATGCGCGTCATTGCGCTTTTGCGCACGTTACATTCTAAGGGAAAATGCATGAATATTTATGCTCATATGGCGCCGTGCAGGTGGCATAAATTACTGACCCAAAAATGTAGATGTTGTTTTTTTTTTTTTTCTCCTTACTAAGGAATGCGCGGTGCTTATCTACATGCCTTTGTGCAAAGGCACTTTGTAAATAATGGGCTACATTTTGCCTCAATGAAAAAAAAAATGTTGTACTGAGCTTTTTAAAGCTGCAGTGTGCAAGAGGTTTTACCATCTTCAACAGATTTAATTACCTTATTCAACTAATACTTCTATCAAGATCTGACTGCTTACTACCTTCATGGTTCATTAGCAATTTTCATATCAGTGATCCTGGAGCACACCTTGGGAAACTGTGCCCGGACACTGCAGTCATGAAGCTTGCCTGTTATATTTGCTTTGGGGACTGGATTTTGCATTAGTCACTCACCTTGGCAGTTGGTATAGCAAGTATAGTTAGCTGCAGGGTGCTGTACAAGTCCCAGGTCTGTGTCATATTCCTATAGCACCCAGACCCTAAAGACTCTCACTGAAGCTATGCCCACTGTGACAGGCAAAGTCCTGGATAAGACCAGTGACATGGGCAATGTAAGTCAAGGCTTCCCTGTATCCTTTTGAATACTGGTTCCTTCCTGGCTTACATGTCTTGACTATGTAGTATATACTACGTTCTTACTCTACAAGCCATACAACAGTGCTGTGCAAACAGGCAGCTCCAAGACCACAGGTGTAAGTAGAATTGCACTCTTAGTATTTTTTTTAAACTGTATTGTCTCACTATTTAGCTTAATGGGTAACAATTTAATAATGTTTACCTATTTAAAGTGTTACTAAACCCAGGACCCTGCATTCACTATATCTGGTCTCCCACAGTACACAGAACATGGAAATGCAATTAGTTTAGTAAACATAAGCTGCTAAATACCTTTTCTCATCAGCAGTGTCCAGCCAAGCACTTAAAGCTTGTAGGGGGATTATCCATTCTGCTCTGACTGTCCTATGAGGCTGCATAACCCCTGACTCACATGTGACCCTGTGCTGATCACATGCACTCTTCCAAGAAAAAAAAAAATACAAGCAATACACACCAAACTGAGCATGTGCTGTTTGCCCTATAGCTCTATTTTATCAGCAGATGGATTTGGGACAGTAGAAGAAGGGAAGGTCGGTCTCCCTAGGTCTGGTGCACCATGCAAGATCTCACCTCGTGGAGTGTCAGTGATCATGAGAACAGTGAGGAATCATCCCAGAACTACACGTGAGGATATTGCCAATGATCTTCAGGCAGCTGGAACCACAGTCACCACAATTGGTAACACACCATGCCGACAAGGATTGAAATCCTGCAGCGCCTGTTTGAA